GACTTGCGTGCAAAATCGAACGAGACATATTAGGGTTACAGATTGTTGTGCGCTTGTGTGAATTGTGTTTTCTAAAGCCTGTTAGGTGTTCTTTCACATTCAATGGAATGGCTCTAATGCATCGTGTGCTCCTCTGCTCCTTCCACCAATCCCCTTCCTCTCTTTCAGTTGTCTGTCTCAGCTTGGTCCAAAAAACTCAAGTACTACTTGTCAAGTCTCCCCTCTAAGCTTGTGTCCTTGAGAATCTAACAGAGAGGAAAAGAGCCTTTTGAAATTCAGGGGTTGAGTGTCTGTTTCTCCCCCCCAGTTCTTTGGAGGCATTGTCCGGGGCCTTGGTGAGAACTTGGAGCCGGGCTCCCTGTTTGTTGACATGCTTCTGTGTGTGTATGTGTGTGTGCCTGGTATCGTATGGCTGCACCCAATCAGATTCGCCTTTAACTGTAAGATGACCACTTGTACCTCTGATAAACTCTGCGGTACGTCAGCAGATTTGGGAGCAGTGATAGCGCCGGCACCAGCAGCCCGCTCTCCTGATAACAGAATGGAACGAGGTCCCGGGCCAACTGCTGACTCCATCGCCCCCACCCCCCCCAACCCTCCACTACCAGGCCAGAAGGGGGAGGTAGGAAGCACAGTTTTGGCCCTTTTTTTGCTTCTCTATCGTCAGGAGAGAGGCTAAATATGACTGCATCAGGAGAGAAGGCCTGGCCCAGTGCGCTGTTCCCGTATATAGATCACTGTCTGAGCCTTGGCCTCTGCCTAGATCTGCTGATGCATCAGTATAAAGCTTCTCTCTCCCTGTACTCTCCCCTGCTTTGGCCATTTCACATGATCCCCAGGCAAGTTTCAGGGGTACAAACCTCTGGCCTCACAACATGTGATTTTGATTCTTAGAGAAACGATTTACTCAACACGTTTATTTTCAGGGACTTTAATATTTCAATAAAATCAGTATTTCAGTTTTCAAATATAAAAGAGTACACACCATACTGTACAATATTATCAGCTGTAACATTTTGAAATTGGTCACCACTAAGCTCACCATGTTCAGATGCTTCTAGTTATTGACATGCTTGGGTGTCTCCTCCCTTTTTGGGAGCCGGAAATGAATGCATGTTGCCATAGTGCAGGGAGGGTCACTCCGTGTTCCCATTGTGGCCTCTTCTCTCGGGAAGAATTCTGGGAATTTAAAGGTGAGGGCGCTGAAAAGGCTGACTGTGTTCGGCGTGTTTGGATTGTGCCTGAGCCTTGTGTCCAAGGCATCATGACTGTGAACTAGCCAGCTGTCCCCTGGCTGATGAATGGCTGGTGCCTTTTAGCCCCTTTAGCTGTCGCTGTCGGATGGGCACAGGACAATGGAGAAGTTTCATAGTGGCTAAAACCAATATCCGGCAAAAAAGGAAGGGGAAAAAATGATCATACTGTGTAGATAATTTATGGAACTTTGTTTTGAGTGCAACCCTTTTTCTGCAGGGTTGTTTAGACGGAGGAGGGGGATGTGCACAAGTTCCACAAGGCAGGTTCCTTTGAGGCCTTGGAATCATTTTCTGTCAGCAGTGTTTAAAGAGAATAAAGTGAGCCGTCATCACAAAAGGTTAAAAATCTGTCGTGCTCAGCCGTTTATTAAAAGCGACTGGGTAACAGCCACAAACTGTAATCCATTATTCAGAGCGCTTTGCTAGAGAAAAGTGGCATTAAAGGCAGAAGCGCAAGGATGACTGCACCTCCCATGATGTTTCAGTCACATCAAAATTGAGATGGCTCGTTTTGAAGTGGAAATGCGAACTGCATCCAGTGTTTGGAGTAGTAACAGTTCGTAAAAAAGAAAAACTCTTCTAGGGCGTGTAGGGGGTTGTGTTCAGTCATAATCTTCTCTGAGTTGTCAATGTAAGGGTAAAAGTGGGTTTTTTTCGCTCTTGGAAACAGCTGAAACATCCTTTTCTAGAAGATCTGTTAAAGGGCATCTCTGTTGAAAAATGAAGTTTTGACTGTAATGAATGGCTTGATTTTGAATGACTGGGTGATGTCATGTCCTGCTTGTGGTCGTGTGTGTGTGTGTGTGTGTGTGTGTGTGTGTGTGTGTGTGTGTGTGTGTGAGAGAATCCAGCCCTCATATATGGCCGCACTTACCGGAATGGAGACCTAGTCAGCTAATCCTTTTCTTTTCCGAGAAAGTCTCAGGTCCCCCAGACTTTTACAGTCACGGTTCTGATCTCTGGATACCCATCAGATGAAATGCACTCCACTTCTTAACCAAGATCAGATGTTAAGACTCATACATTTCTGGCCATGGTTGAGGTAGATACCCAATTACAGTGATACTTGGTTGCGGGTGGAATTACTTGCTATAAAGAGAGGTTGTTAATCGGTAACGTCATACAGCTGGTCAAAAGTGGCCGAGCGGCACTCCCCTAAAGGCCATTACACTCATGTAAACTAATCGCTCTATGTGCCTACCACTGCTGTGACTAGAATCTTATGGGCCCCAATGCAAGGAAAATGAATGCAACCGCCATATGAAAATTACTTTAATTTAAAGTGACAGTGTCATTTGCTTGTTTACTCACTATAGTCATGTCTTAAACATGTTGATGCTTTTATGGCATACCAGTCCACCCACTACCTTCTAAAGTTAACCTTAATGTTTATGTTCAGCTACCTATTTAGAGTGCAGTAATTATGTATCATACAGCTGACTGAGACTCTGTGGGCCAAACTAGTGGGTTACGTAGATTCCTGGGAATCCTTGCTTTGCAAAATATATATGTTGATAAAATAAATATTTTAATATATAATTTGAAGGGAATAATTTTGGTCTTTTATGATGCATTCATATAAGAATGGATTTATGTTGCAGGTTTTGAAGAGTCCTTATGAATAACAGGGAGGCAAATATTCATCAGTGCTGTTGAGTGTTGAAGCTAACCATTGAGGTGTAAAAAAAAAATTACGTCTGGCTGTGAGTAATGGGTTGCAGACCCTTTTGTGCAATGGGCATCACTGATTGCACAGTAGTTACATCATTGCTACATGCTTCTTGACCTGTAGTTTGGATCATATGCTAGATATATTTTCACATGTAGTTTGGCATAAGACAGGTGTTACATTTTCTATATAATTTCTCATATTATTTGTAATGCCATGTCAGATGCAGGTCCCAGTTGGAGAGATTAAAACACAGAACAAAACACAAAAACAAAATTACAAATCAGCTAGTCGTGCACTTATTTCATTGTTTTTAACGAGCAAGCCTCTTTGACCTTCTCCCTCTATTAAGTTTGAAGTTTGGGGCACTCTCCTGGAGCCCTTGGCTGTGCAGTGTCACATAAAGTTTAAGCTTTGGACTGTCACCTGACACATCAGGCCAACAAAACAGCAAAGCAGTTAACTGGCCAACAGCAAGGAGATTGTCCCCCTTCTTTGACTCAGGCCAAGGGCCTGCTCTTCCGAAATGCCAAAAGGACAGTTATTTCCATGGACAGATGGAGCGGTTTTATTTTTTTTAATTAATTTATTTTTTTAAATGTATCTCTGTATTGAGGAGCTGGCCACAGGCCTCAGATCATTCTTGGCAGGGCTTAGAAGAGCCATAATGGTGACAATTAGACTCATAGTGTCACCGGAGGTCTCTTTGCGTGCTTGGAGAAACTGGGCAGTAAAACGGCTTTGATTGTTCTGAGGATTGCTTCGCTCTGTCTGTCGCCACACACTGCTCCATCTGCACGTTCGGAGAGTCTCCTCACTGTATTATACACGCAAGGGAAGATGGTTAATTAGTGCCTTGAAAAGTGCAAGATGTGTACAACCCCCTTCCCTTTTTTTCATCTCCTCTCACTTTGCTGTGCAGTTGGAGGTAACTTGCGATGGGCTTCAATTGACCTAGTTTGGGGGGGGAAATCCTCATTGACCTAATTTGCAATGTGTGCGCTTGCTTGCCTGGTGGTTCCTCCCTCCCCCCGAGCCGCTCCTCCTCTCATTGTTGTCATCTGCAGAGAGTTTCTCCTCTCCACTGTTATTGGCTAGACAGCTATGGAGGCTCAGAGCATTTCTTTGTTGGTTCCTGCCTGGAGAGAGGAGCTGGAGGTGCCTATTGTTGTCACATCTTTACTTGAGAGTCCCTCTACCATTCATAATTACCTTCTGTGTACCCCCCTCCTTCTCTTGCCTTCCCTTCCCTTCTCCAGTTTGCTCCAGGGGCTTGCTTGTGTGTCTAAAGAAGTGATTGGGTTCTCCATTGTGAGGCCAAGCTTACACCCACCTTACAGTGCACACCTAACCCTGTACATTCAGTGTAGCACAATAACAGGGCTGGGAGGGGAGCCAGAATTGGCTTGGGGGTGAGATGGCAGTATAGAGGGGGTGCTATTGTTCAAAGGCTTGCAATAAATGCCAGGTCTGGGTACAGCGGTTTCAGAATCATCCGCTTCTGCTGGCGTGAATGGGTCTTAAGGCGAAGCTCCATATGGCGCCTTGGAGGCTTTGCAGGTTTACTCTCTTGGGCTTATGTAGATGCAGCGAAAGCATCCTTCAGTTCAGCCACCGGGATACGGGAACGCTTTTGGTTAGTATAATCATGCAAAACTTTCTTACGTTGGAACCATCTTCAAACACAATTGTTGTGGCACAATGTGACCACTGCTTGCCACATGTTTTATTCTTGTACCACTGTGAAGTGATTCTTAAACAAGAGCATCTATAGACTTTCCATCTTCACATAAATATGGTATTCAACAGCCTACACTGCAGTCTCATTCCCTTGTCTCTATAGAAATAGAGATACATGTAGATTTTCATGTAAGAAAACTCCACTATCAGGAAAATAGGGCAGCCTAGTGTAATTTACTGGCTTGGGATCATTCTTCCTTTGGGGTGGCATTTAAATCTTATTTGCTGGATAGGCAGTGATGGTTCACCTTTTCAAATGTGTTGCTCACCATCCTTTTCTCGCCCTTGAGAAGCAGATTATGCAGTCTTTCAGGGCTAAATGACCATGTGACCATGTTTTGCTACACAAATGAACAAAAAAATGGTGAAATGCCTTGACATTTGGAGGGTTACTTATTGTACCCTCTGAATTAAAATAGTAGTACAGTCAAAAATGCTAACACCGCTTAACAATGAATGATGATAAATATGCAGACATCATGCTCAGTGTCCTATCTGCTGTCTATTTGTTGTCCAACACATTAGCATGGTTGGTCGAGGTGGTTCTTTAACCAAATTACTTAAACCCTTTGGCTTTGAACGACATTGAAATCTCCTCCTGTTCTCGTTTGGTGAAAGTGTCTTGTCTGGTCGCATTTCTGTTTGATGTTGGTGTAAACAGGTTTGATGGGGATGAGTGTGTCTGCCACTGCAGAGATGCAGCTGGGTGATGGAGGGTTTTGACACTAATTCCGAAACGGTGTGGGATGCTAGAGTTGTGTCAACTGAGATTACACGTGAGGGCCCACACCATCAAAGGCCCTGTCTGCAGGCGTTAGACTGACAAAGCCATTTTTCCTCATGGGCTGCTCTAGAAGTATCGGTTTTGAAGTACTGATGTCTATCAGGGATTGTCGTAGAACTGGGCTGGGCAACAACTTGCTCGTGTGCCTTTGTTTGTATCTCAAAGCGACCTCTGCTCATGATCTTGATAGCGAAGAAACTTTCGGAAGAGGTCAGTCCTGATTTCTTTTTGATTTTTGTTTTAATCCTACTGTTCAGATACAGCAGTTGCTATGTTGGCCTTTATTCATTTTCCTTCCCGCGTTATGGGCATTCCTCCCACTGTGCACATAAAAATTGGCTGGGACGTGAAGAGTTAAAGGTTGATGGCTGCGGCGGCCGGCTGTATTATGCAAGCTGTTAAGCAAAAAAGGAAGTGCATTACAAAATGCTGAGCTCAGACGTCTGGCGTGCGGCCAAGCCTTTGCTTTTTCTTCTCCACAGCTGAGGGCTTTCTAAGCTTCCCACCAGTGGGTTTGTCTACTGTTTAGGAATTCTCTCTCTCTCTCTCTCTCTCTCTCTCTCTCTCTCTCTCTCTCTCTCTCTCTCTCTCTCTCTCTCTCTCTCTCTCTCTCTCCTCTCTCTCTCTCTCTCTCTCTCCACACCACCCCGCCCCCTCTCTCCTTGTCCCGCCCCAGTCTGCTTCTCCCCTTCCCTCCCCTTCTGTTGCCATGACGTCAGCTGAGCAGTTCAGCCCAGGGCCATGCACAGTCGGGGTTGGGCCATACAGGGGAACGGCATTTGTTGATATTTGTTGATGTGTGCACGATTCAGGCAGCTGAGGGGGAGGAGGCAGTGTGTGTGTGTGTGTGTTTTTCTGTGTCTCTGCAAGCGGCAGTGGATAGCTGCCAGTGTGTGGAACGCTTCCCTTGTGGCCACAGCGTCAGCTGACTACAGAGCATAAGGGGGAAGGGAGGAGCTCTCTCGCGCTCTCTCTCTCTCTCTCGCGCGCGCGCGCTCTCGCTCTCTCTCTCTCTCTCTCTCTCTCTCTCTCTCTCTCTGTGTGTGTCTCTGTGTCTCTCTCGCTCTCTCTCTCTCTCTCTATTTCTCCGTTCCTCCTTTGTGCGTTATTAGTCAGGTTTTCCAGTCAGTTAGTCTGGGTGTGAATTCCAGGCATATTAACTGAGCAAGCCGTCTAAAGAAGAAGTGAAAGTAGTGTGTATGCATAATGCTGTATATTGCGCTGCTGTTTTCCGTGCTGATGGTACATAAACAGCGATGGCACATATTGTACGTGTGGTCGTATACATCCCCGGTCCAATTACATGCTTTTCCAAGTGAAAATAACAGGGAACAGAATTTAACTATGACATCTGCAAAGTTTAATGCACAACTTAAATGTTTAACATAACAATAAAACATAAAATTAAAAAAAAAAAAAGCCAGATTTTTGCCCAGGCCACTTTTATGATTTGATTTGTTTTCCCAATATGTTAAATTCAGCAAATGAACAATAATTGTGCATCAAAATATGCAGACGTATGTTCTCAGGTGGTCTGAAATAGCTTCTTTAAAATAGGCCTAATGAGGGTTCAGGCAGGATGCGTGCTTTGTGGGCTGAGGCACTTTTTCTGTTGTTTTAAATGGGAGAGATATCGTTTGCACATGGTTTGGGCTGGGTGCCTCTCGTTTTACTCACCCTCCGTGGCTCTGTTTTGTGCAGAGCGCTCCAGGTGACCTGAGTTGAAGCAGTAAAGTAGGTTACCTTATAAGTGTTTTTATTATTTTAGTTATTTTTCTGTGCTGATCAGTCAGATCTAAAGGAAGAGAGGGCTTCGGTGATGGTTGCGGAGCACATTGAACTGTATGATTATATAGATCAGAATGATCAAAACCTAAACAGAAAGCTATTTTTTGTTGTTGTTTTGAGCTAGAAGCACCACACTTTCTAATTAACTTTTTAAAAGGGGAAGTGCCAGAGCTTTCTACCTGTTTATATTGAAACAGTAGCTAACTAGTAAATCTGATTGACAGTTCAGATGCAATTCTTGTTCCAGCAACAGGGATACGGTGCAGCTAGAAGCGGCATTTTATAAGGAAAGAGTAAATCACTAAATGCAGTACATTGCGTTTTTCTGACTTCTGCCCCAGCTCCACCCCTTAACCCTGACCATCACGTGCTTATGTGAGTAACTGCACATGAAACCAAAATGGTTCATTACAGTGCAGGATTGGGCTGGCTGTGTGTCTAAATCTGGATCTTTTTGAAATTGAGCTATACTGGATATTTACTAGACCTCTGACATACTGCCCTCTCGTGTGAGACCAAGTCAGTGAGTTCAAGAGAAAAGGCTGATCCAGCGAACCAGTACATTAATTTCCCTACAAATCACAGGCTTACCTCCCCTGACCTCATGTTGCATCTCCCTTTTGAAGTCGAAGCTTTTGGCGGGCATACTACAGCTCGAACTGTGGCTGCTTCCTATTTTTAAACGCCATTTTCCCCCTTACAGTCAGGGCTCTCGGTGTGCAGGGAGGGGTCCCAAGCAAAGAACCACATCCACCCCGGCCCACCCAACCCAGGCTTCTCTCTCTCTCTCTTTCTCTCCACCGCACCCCTCTTCTCCTGGGACGTGGACTGACTGGCTGGAGGCTGAGGAACGGCGGTCTCTCCACAGAGCTTTCGGCTTGAGAGCCTTCGTTCTTCCCCAAAAGTGCAGTGCTAGCCTCAACCAACATACAGGGGTGTGTATACATAACTCATGAAAGCTATGTCCCCCCCACATACATCCTCTAAAAAAGCAGGTCTGTCCTGTAGCGCTCTAGCATATCTCCCGGCAGCAGTTTTGGCTCTCTCTGTGACCCGTAGCTAACGCTAACATTAGCAACAGCATGACTATCACTCATGGAGAACCCAAAAAGGCAGCCGTCTGGGCTCGAAGTGTGTCCCAGATAGTACTTTTCCGCCTCCCTACGCCACAGTCTGAAATGTCAGTGCTGTGTTTTTTTTTTTTTCTTTCCCACCCTGATGAAGTGGGCCAGGGTTCTGGCTAAAGACGTGTAGGATATGTTTAGTGCTGTGGCTAGCATAAAAGGTTTGTTTAGTTGGCCATTCAGGAAATTTTTTGGTCAAAATCAAAAATTGAAAATCGAAACTGAAACTCCTTCCTTTCTGCTTCTTTTGTTTAGCTGTATTCTGTGCATGGAGCGGGTGTTGTTTTGAAGTGTTGTCCAGCCTGTGGTGTACAGGTTCCTGGGTGTTGTATCCCCTCCTGATACTTGGCATAAATAGAGATTTTGAATTGTTTGTCCAACATCCCTCATAGAAACTGTGAAGTAGTTCCACAACGCCAGTGTGTTTGTGTTCATCTGCTGCTGCTCAAACTGTTTGAACACGTCTGTGCTGTCCAGCACATAGTAAAAGGGAGAAAGGGAGCGTTTTAATCACTACTTCTCATCTTCATTACCTTTCATACCATTGGAAAAGTCTTAGAATTTGCTAGTTCATTGTAGGCCTATTTCAACTTTTGTTTTTTTGGTCAAAACTTTCAGCTGTTTTTTCAGCACTTTGTCCTTACTTAAAATTAATAACCAAATGATAAGCCTAAGATTCAAAGAGTTAGTTGCACTTGGCCTTTTGTTCAGAGCCTTGTTAAGATCCGGCATGGAGAAACACTGCTGCTTTAGGCAGGAAGTGGCTGTCCTCATCCTGTTCCCCATACAATTGCATGTGGGATTGAAACCATTCCACACACTCATACAGTAAGCCTCAGCCTGAAGAGGCTCCCAGAAGCCTATGGGCTGCAGGCGTGGACCGGCCGTAAAAACCCGGCTCGAGCTTTCTCGCTCATGTGTTCTTAAGGTTTCCTGTTTCGTCCGGTAACGTGAATCAAGGCCCAAATGCAACCCGCCCACACTGAGCCTCGTATTGTGTGACCTCAGAGACCACCCCAGGAAACAGGTGTACGTCTGTTTTTTTCTGAGTGTGTATGTGCACGTGTGTGCCTACGTGGGAGGGGTTAGCCAGGGGCCCAAGTGCTCCTACGCTCTGGAGTAGTGGCTGTGATGGCCTCTTCCTTTGCTCCTCCTCTTCCCCTCATTTGTTATGGGAAAGTGATCCGGCAAGGAAAACGACTTTGGAGGCCAGAGGTGGAAGTAGAGGTGGAGGAGGGGACTCTGGCTGTTTGGTCGGCAGCGTCCAACGCAGCGGCTGACTGTTGGGAAAACACGCCTGGGCCACAGCTGTGCTTTTCTAGGCCTACTGAGCGCCAGCCCTGTGGCACGCTGTTTGCTGATGGGACCACACACATACTTTGGACTGAATCTAGACTCTATCTGATCTATTGACATACTGGCAGAGAAAAAAGCCATAAGTAACTGTCCCATCAAAGAGGGATTGATGCTATAAGGCTTATCTGTAATAGCTTATGTATCGAAAGGGTTGGATGAAACACACAATGTAGCTTAAGATCAAGTATGTGCGTGCTGGTGTGCCCAATCCGACTGAGCTTGATTGGAGCCATATCGAGTTTAACGAAATGGCTGCTATTAAACGGGCCTAAACACAGCGCCTGTTGGCAGTGGCGCTCCCCTTGCAGTGTTTTCTTTCATTGGCTGAGAGCACAGTCAGATGTAATTCCAGCCTGAAGAGCCAGAGCCATTCTCTGGGTATTATCAGGGCCTATCCGCTGCTCTGCTGCCTTTCAGAGGCACCACACACTTAGCCTAATCCACAGCACGGAGCTAAGTTAGAGGGGCAGCCTATTATGCATTTTGACTGGTGTGTGGCATGGTATTACGCAGATCATGCAATGGCCTGCTTTATCAGCTGTTTGGGGTAGCTAGCTTTGTGTTTCATATAGAGGTATGCGAGTGGCCCGCATGCAAAAATGAAATCTGCATGATGCCTTTGTCTGAAGTTAAAGGGCTGCAAACATGAAGACTTGAACATGTACCTGACATTGAGGTTTAGTTCTCCTTGAAATGAGGAGACGATGGCAGGACTTGACAAAACCGAGAGCATGTTTTTGACTTGGGTTTGTTCCAAAGCCTGTTCAAAACAAGTCAATTATACGCTGTTTGCTAGGAATTTCCTAACTTGATTAGACAAGTATTTGGGTATGGGGAATTGAATTTACTAAAGTATCTCAGTTTGAGATACCTTTATGAAGAAACGCATATGAAAGTAATCACGTTATGCAGAACGCATTTAGCAGTGAGCCCAGGGATAGC